GGCAAGGGTATGAGTTGTAGGCTACTTGTGTCTACCTGCTGCTGAGCAGAATGCCCTCTTGGCTGCATGTGTCTGTCTTTTTTTAATTTTGGTGCATTTCTGTCCAGTGTAAAGATACCACATGGAATATGACATTAATTTTAAACCAGTGTGAATTACACTAGTGTAGGTGTTCTGTGTCCACAGCTGTAATCAATCATCACAGAAAGTGCCTGGGTAAGATAGTAGCTTTGCTTATCCTAGTGTTAAAGTGTTTTAATAGCAACCTACAGTCTACTCCTCCGTGATGAACTACTGTAATTCTGTTCCCATTCTGAAATAAGGTGGCTTATATAATTTAGCTAGTTGTACTAAACCTATATAAGCTAAACCTGCTGTTGTGGTTCAGTGGTAGAATCCTTATCTGCCACAAGGGAGACCTGGGTTTGATTCCTGAATGCATATAACTACAGCCATTAAGGCAATGAATGTCCAGGCTTGGTCCAGCCTTTGGATTCTGTCTTAAGTAGACTGAAGGAGAGATGCAAGGTCCTGGCAGCCTCCACTCCTGCCTAGGCATACACATCAGAGATCCTGGTGATCATACACCATGATCCAGAAAGATCAACAATTGCCTACTATATAAGCTACAGCAGAATAACATGTGGTCCACAACCTAAGCATTTTTTTGGTCAAAGTGATGTAACACTCAGTGAGCATGGAACTGTCCTTGTTACAGAGTTTCTTTTCTGTTACTAATTTCATTTTCATTAAAATCTGCAGATTTCAGACTCTTGGAGACTCCAAACAAAAGGCAGGCATCAGTGATCTTTGTTCTCACTCTTTCTCAGTTGCACACTAATAAACACACTTCTGCTGACCATTACTCTACATCCTTAGTCAAGCCTTTCTGGCTTTGGATTGCTAGTCTGCTGGCATGGTTCTCCAGCACTTCAGATGAACTCTACTCAGAACAGGAGAACAGCAGGGCTGCACTAGCGCCCACAGACAAGGGGGGGGCTAACAATGGCCAGAGCTTGCTAATGCCATTTGTATTTTTTTGTTCAAACAAAGGCTTAAGAAGTGGAGTGCTGGGACCAGTTTTCTGTAAACTGACATCACACTGAAGATGAGGTAGGGCTGACCATGGCCCATTGATAATTTTTCCCCAGGCTCTGGGTTGGGGAGTGGTGTTAATGAGGCCAGGCTGTATATTAAATCAACACTAGAGAATAAGCTTTTTTCTTTGATGAAGGTCAAAAGTTAAATCCAACTCCTTAAAAGGTGCAAAATATATAATATTAAGAGTAGATGGGGTGTCTCAAATCAATACCTTTTTATAGTGGTTCCTCGTGCAGAGCACCTCCTTTTCATCAAACTTGAAAAAAGAAAAATAATGTTAAGACCAGAGAAGAAAGACTTTTTACTAACTCTTTTCATTGCTACTATAACCATGGAACTTTGTTGATCAACAGTTACAACACTAAAAGTGACTGTTCTGTTTTAAAAGACAAGTTTTACTGTAATAGAAACATTGGTTGTTAATTAATGTGTCTTTTGTTTCATTTTTTGTTTCATTTTTCTACCAGCCCAATCTGTGATCACCTCTCTCACCTTGTGTTGGTCAGAAAAAATTTAGACATTCCCAATTAGTACAGAGTTTTCATTCCTGATTTGAGAAACTAGACACCTGCAGGACTGGATTTAGAATGAGCAGGGACAATCTTTAAAGCTTCCCTGCTCAAGCAGATTAAGCTCTATCCATACAGCTGTTGTATGAAAAGAAAGGATTGGGAGGGGCTTCTTTAATGACTGCATTTGTCAATCATATATACAGTCACAGGCACGTATGACAATACTGTCAACCTCCTGGCCTTCCCTCTTAAAAAACCCTGATTTATTCATTTATTTTTTGAAACAAGCATGGACTGAAACAGAAGTGAATGTTAGACTGAAATTGTAGAGCAGCAATTCTCAGCCAAGGTGTCAAAGTATCCTGGAGTGCTGCAAGACACTTTTCTAGAGTGCCACGGGGTGCCATACTTTATTAGCACTATTAGGTGTGCAAATACCTACACATGATTCACAAGAGAAAAGCAGCTTTCTGTAAACAGGAATCCAGTGTCCAAAAGGCTGCTCGTACATGCCATGGGGGTTTACTTTAGTTTAATTCTCCCTAAATTGAAGAGGTGGGTTTTTAAAAACACTACTTCAGATTAGGGCAAAGTAAACCCCCGTAGCATGTACACAAGGATCAGACCCAATTCTTACCTGCCTCTCTGAAGGCAGTGGGGGGAGGGAGAGGCAAGGCAAGCTACCAGAGAGCTGAGTGGTCCCTGAGCTGCAGGGGGGAGGGAGGGTGGAGTGCTTCCCTCCGTGACAGTGGCGGTACCCCCCAGGCAGCACCTGCCCACAGGCACCCAGCCTGGGCAGTCCTGGAGAGCATTGCAGTTGTAGAGGGAAACACCAGGCCCCCGCACAGGTCGGGCAGGAAGGTCTGGCTCTGGGGAGGAAAAAAGAAAAATCAAGCTTGCCACTTTTTTTTTTTCTTTTTCAGTGGAGTCTGTTTGCATGGGCTGCTGCCAGGCTGCCTGCACGAGCTGCCTGCACAGCCCCTGGGCTGCATGGGGCCTGGCGCTTCCCTCCATGACTGTAAGGTAGCAAACTAAAACAACCTGGACATGTTTTATTTTGCTGTATCCCGAAGTCATTTAATGCTCAATATCCCACTAACAGTGTAAACAGCCAGCAGTGCAAAAGGGGATTTAAGCTAATTTTGTGGCATGTACAAAGGTCCAAAATCACTCTGACCAGTTGTGTCTTTCAGAGTAATCTGTAGCAGAAGAATTGCTCTATTATTTTTCCATAGTCAAAACCCAAATAAAAGCAAAGCGTTGGCATTTTCTAAGACATGCCTTGAGCCTAATGAGGGGTGCCTTGAGCTTAAAACCCACTTGTGTAGAGAGTCTATAGGTCTAGGAAGGGATGAGCCAAGGCACACCTGATTCAAACAATTAATTAAAGAACTGAAACTTCTGGGGCAGGGAGTTGCTCTTGGAGGCCTGGGTGGTGGCAGTCTTTGGAGGCAGATTCCAGCCTGATCATGGTCTGGTCTACAGCCTCATGCTTGTCCCTGTGCTTGTGTTGTCTAGGTCCAGCTTGTACCTTATTCCAGCTATCCAGCATATGGCTGTGAGACTGTCTTTCCCTCCTCCCAGTTCCCTGTTTGCACGTATGCTTATCCATTTGGACAAATCCTTCTAGACATTAAATCTATTCTGGTTTTGTTTTGGGACCAGACAGCTCAGAGGGTTTTGGAATGGTGAAGGATGCATTGGAGCTCTTTGTATTGCTCAGCAGTAGATGAGTGGTTAGTCCTCCCTTAGCTAGGCCCTTGAAGAGGACAATTGCTAGGCAATGAAGAGCTGCGTAGTGATGTGATCACTGGAAAGTGCAGAGGCCTTGGCAGGTCCTGTCTAGGTGAAATCTAACAACTCAGTCAATTTCCCATCTTGATCCCTTCTCCCTGCTGCTGCATGCTGCAAAAGTGTCCCACTCAGCTCCTTTCTGGATGTTGTCCCCAGGCAAGTTGTACTGAGTGTGGTGAGCAGAATGATCTTGATGTGGCATGAAACCAAAAGATAAAGAAAGGAGCCTCCCAAGACAGGCAGGGTGACTCAGGAGAGAAGCTGGTTTGCATTGCTTTGATGTGCACATGGAGTATACAGGGGAGTTTCTAGATTGCAACTATCTATGGATTAACAGCTGTATGAAATAGTGTTGAATGTTTCAGAGCCAGTCTTATACCCTTTCTCATTGGGATCAGTACAGTAATCCAGGAGGTGTCCTGTGGAAGTTAGCAGGGCTAATGTTGAAACCTGTTGTTGTTCAAGCTGCCACCGGGGGATTAGAGTCTGTATTGGGGTCTGGTAGGATTTGTGAATGCACCCAGGGTGAGGGGGGAAATATTAACACATGAACCTAGGCAACTTTCTTTCAGCCTCCTCCTACCCTCAATCTGTGTAGTTGCAGTGCACTTCTCCCAAAGCAGAACCAGGAATTTTGCTATATGACCTCTGAAAATTAAATGGAGCCTATAGTCCATACTCGGGGACAAAATGCCGTTTTAGTCACTGGGAGCTTTGTATAAAGCTGCTGGATTTACTCTTTGTGATGTTCAGCACATTTTAAGGACTGAATTCTACAACCAACACTTAACCAGTATAAGGCTTATTTCAGTGATGAAACTGATAATAAAACTCCTAGGTCATCTTTACACGTGCTCTCAGAGCCACTCTAATTAAAGTGTCTGCAGTATCTTCTGTATTCAGCATCCCACACTTCAAAATGGCAGCGGGGGCGCTTTGACTAAAGCTCACCAAATGATCTTTAGTTAAAGTGCCCCCACCACCATTTTGAAGTACGGGGACACTGAATACATGAGATGCAGAGGCTGCTGGAGTGTGCTAATTAGCATGCTCCAGCAGACCTGATTAGTCGATTTTGCTCCGATGCACTATAATTACAGCACGTTGAAGCAGCATCCCCACACGTGTACAGGCACCCTGTGGAAGATTAGCTGTGTCCTCCAAAATAAAACTGCCATCTCTCATGTTGGATCAGCTCGTCTCCTTAAATTCACCCACCACAACTTAGATGGAAAAAGGAAGGAACTGAAGATGAGTACAGTCCTAGGAGATAAGGATGCCGTCAGTTCTGTAACTTAGAAAGTTGGCTCTGCTTCACAGGGCTCCACCATCCCATACCCTGCCCTTACCACACGAGATGTTAGGATTTTACTCGCATCAGCCCTCTTCTGTGGGAGTCTTAGTCTCCGGACTGCCTTGATCAGTTCTAGGTGACCAGTTACTTGCGCTTGGTCACTTACCCTGTTCTTCTCCACATGAGTCCCAAGGTGACCGGCCCACAGTTCATCTCAGCCCTTATCTTTCAGGGCTGTCATATTGGGTCAATGCCCCAAACTCACACAAGCACTCAGCTCCTTCTCTTCTTTCCTTCAGGTCCCTGGAATGGCTGCCCGCACTCACTAGACTTGGATGCTGCAGCCACCTCATCTCCCCGCCTCCGCAGGTAAGTCAGTCTTTGGGACTCTCTCCCAAGTCCCTTTGGTTGGTCCCTTGCTGTTGTCTATCTGCGTTCCCTTGGGTTTCATCCTGAGTAGTTTCATAGTTTCATAGAAGTAGGGTCAGAGGGAACCTGAGCAGATCATCTAGTCTGACCCCCTGCCCTGGGCAGGAATGAATACAGGGCTGTTATGATCCCTACTAACTTTAAACTCAAATGACCCCAGCTAGGTAGTTATCAAGCCTCCTTTTAAAGACCCCTAAGGTAGGAGCCAGCACCACTTCCCTTGGAAGCTGGTTCCAGATCCTGGCTGCTCGGACTGTGAAGTAGTGCCTCCTGATGTCTAGCCTGAACCTACTCTCAATCAACTTGTGGCTGTTGTTCCTTGTTATTCTGGGAGGTGCTCAGGGGAACAGGGTCTCACCCAATCCGCTCTGGTCCCCCCGGTAAGTTTATAGACGGCCACTGGATCCCCTCTCAGCCTTCTCTTGTGAAGGCTGAACAAGTTCAGGTCCCTTTGCCTCTCTTTGTAGGGCCTGCCCTGCTGCCCCCTGATCATGTGAATGGCCCTCCTCTGGACCTTCTCGATGGTGTCCACATCCCTCCTGAAGTGTGGTGCCCAGAACTGGACACAGTACTCCAGCTGCTGCCTGACCAGTGTTGCATAGAGGGGGAGGATCACCTCCTTGGACCTGCTTGTGATGCATCTGTGGATACATGACAAGGTGTGGTTAGCCTTGCTGACCACGTCCTTGCATTGGTGGCCCATGTTCATTTTAGAAACGATAATGACTCCAAGATCTCTTCTTGCCAGTGTGCTTTCAAGAAGGGAGTTCCCCAGCCTTATAGGTATGCTGCTGGTTCTTCCTGCCCAAGCGCAGTACCTTGCACTTGTCAGTATTGAATACCATCCTATTCTCATTTGCCCACCCCTGTAACCTGTCCAGGTCCAGTTGTATCCTGTCCCTCCCTTCTAGCCTGCCCACCTTGCCCCAAATCTTGGTATCGTCAGTGAATTTGAACAGGGTGCTTTTCACCCCCTCATCCAAGTCACTGATAAAGAAATTGAATAGTATGGGCCCGAGGACTGAGCCCTGGGAGACCTCCCTCCAGTTTGAATATGACCTATCCACCATCACTCTCTGGGTGTGGCCACTTAGCCAATTTGTGACCCATCTGACTGTGTAGGCATCAATGCCACAGTCGCCTAGCTTTTTGATGAGAATGGGGTGAGAGACAGTGTTGAAGGCCTTCCGGAAGTCCAGAAAGACTACATCCACCGCGACACCTGCGTCTAAGGATTTTGTGACCTGATCATAGAAGGCAATCCGGTTGGTCTGATAGGACCTGCCCTTAATGAACCTGTGGTGGTTGCCCTTGAGCATCCTCCCGCCTGCTGGTCCCTCCCAGATGTGCTCCTGGATAATTTTTTCAAAGAGCTTCCCAAGGACCAAAGTAAGACTAACAGGCCTGTAGTTGCCTGTGTCCTCCCTCCTCCCTTTTTTGAAAATGGGGACCACATTGGCCGCCTTCTGGAACCTGGCCAGAGCACCACGAGTGTTCGTAAAGCCGTGCCAGGGACCCCACGATGACTCCTGCCAATTCCCTCAGCACCCTGGGGTGGAGAGCGTCTGGACCTGCTGATTTGAACATGTCCAGACCCTCCAGAAGTTCCCTAACTTGGTCCTCCCTGACCCTAGGTCTGGTGGAGTCACTCCTGAGTCTGTCCTGTATCCCAGTGGGGGAGAAGTCCTGGTCCCTGCTCAGAAAAATGGAGGCAAAGAATTTGTTAAAAAGGTCTGCTTTTTCATCTGGTGAAACCACCAGATTGCCATGCGTATCCTGCAGGGGCCCTGCATTGCCTGGTGCCTTCTTTTTGCTCCCTATGTATTTAAAAAGGGAATTTTTGTTGTCCTTGATCCTTGTTGCTAGCCCTAGTTCCATCTGCATCTTAGCCTTCCTAACAGCCTCCCTACAGACTCTTGTTATGGAGGTATAATCCTCTTTGGTGATAGCCCCCACCCCCTTCCACTGGATGTATGCCTCCTTTTTGGCTTTCAGATGTTCCTGAATGCCTTTGGTGAGCCAAGGGGGCTTTTGAGCACTCTTGCCTGCTTTGACATGCATTGGGACTGTCACCCCTTGGGCTCGGAGGATCTCCTCCTTAAGGAACAACCACTTGTCTTGGACACCTAGTTCCCCTACTCTCTGGAAGTGCATTGCCTCTCCTTCCAATCTCGTCAACTCATTGAAGTTGGCCCTCCTGAAGTCAAGGGCTCTATTCGCTGCACAGCTAGCTCTCCCAGCTGATCATGCTAATTACCATCCAGGGCTCTTGGCACGGCTTTTCCCCAGGTTGGACTCGCCGGCATGGTAAGTATTGTTCTCTGTTCTTTTGGTGTTGCTTAACAGAGTGGACTTCTCACCCTGTCACACACTCCTATAGATTAACTGAGGTAAGGATGTTGTTCCATAAATTAGGATTGCTACACAGAGCACATCACATTGTCACTGGTTTCACATCACTATGACAATGTATGTCTTAAGCATACAGTATTGTGTGGTACCTGTGTTATAGACATTTCAGAACAGATTTTGTAGAGGATCAGAATTATTTGATTTTGGTTTCCAATTTTAGATTCAGGCGTTTAAAAGTTGCATTTAGGTTTCATGTTGCAATTTTTAGGTGAGAAATATATGCATAATTGATACTAGAATGGTTGATTGACAGATGCTAATTCTCAAAGCACTGTCTCTATAGCTCTTCACTAAATCATATAATTAACTTGACTCCCATCCTCATTCTATTTGTGATTTACTACATTTATTATCTTAATCTTGAAATTTAGACCCTGCAGGTTGCAAAATATTGCACTGTAACTATAAGTATGCTGTTATTCTCCAAAGCAAATCCAAGCTGTCTGCTACAGGCCTTTTTAATTATTAACACAATTAAAGTTCTTCTTTTCTTTGAAGACTGCATGGGTAAAAATGGCAATGAGGAAAATGATGATTGACACTTCTTTTTGCCTATTCCAATGTTTTATATCCATTTAGAGTCTTAATGTTGGACTGGATTTAAGAATGAAAGCTAGGTATGAATCAATCAAATTTATAGCTAGTAAATGTTGTTAGACCTCAACAAGATGTCGTTTGGTATTGCCCTTTGGAACACCACCTTAAAACTAGTGGTTCAAGTAGATGAAAATGAGTGGGCGGTCTCATCAGTTTTGGTGGTTTTTATTACAGGCTGTGACATGGCATCTTCTTGTAGGGATACCAACATAAACTGGAATGAGAGCCATATAGTTGTTACCTGGAGGGATTACTATGGCTTTAATGATTGATTTGCATTACCTGCTGCTCGGGCTTCCAAATAGGAAGTGAGAGTGGGGGAAACTGCTACGTAAAGAAGTATCTCTCCTACTTCATCCCTTTCCAGGTTCCTGACAATGTGACTCTTTTGGGCCTTGCTACTAGGCCTGCTTCACTGTAGCAGCTACCTAAAAAATCCATTTCAAAGGGATATTCCTGCAGCCAGGTGGCATGAATGGCAGCAGAGTCCCAAGTTGGATATTCCAGATAGTTTTGGCTGAATGCCAAGGAACTGTTAGATTCCCTTTCAGCCCACTTACAACTCATCCAGATCTTCATGAAGAGAAGGCTGATCCATGAGACACATTTTGTAGGACAAGGAGAAAGAGTGATGGGGCAGGTGGGTGAACCCCCACCCCTTTCAAGCATGTAGGCCTGAAATTCAGGCAAGGAGGCCTTCTTCACGTGTGGGCTGGGCAGGCCTGATCCCCGGTCATTTCTAGGATTATTTTGTTTAACAGTTTTATTCTCCCTGGACTGCCCCATGTTTCTAGAGGCTGCAGACTCATATATGCTGTTTGCAGTTTGTAACAGGGAGCCAGAAGCTCATGTTACTTTAAGGGGATGCTGCAGCAGGCTAAGCTTGCTGCGTGGGACTAGCAGCTGTGCTAGGGCTAGCTGCAGGGAAACAAACAGGCCAGTATTAGTCGGAATAGGAGCTACTCCTGGGGGAGGGCCTATCCCAGGAGCTTCCTGTGTGGAGCCAGCAGCTGGGCTAATCTGCAGCAGGGAGTTTGGAACATGTATTGTCCAGGACAAGTATGATCCTACAGTAGAGTAGGTACACTCACCAAAACGTGTGGGTTGACAGTGACCAGGCCTGACTGGGGCATGAGGGTGTTACAGTGGAGGGACTTCCTGCTGGCTAGCCCCACATTGTAGCAACTTTGTGCCCCAGCCAGCCCCTCAGCAGCACATTGAGCCAAGTCGGAGCAGCCCTGAGTTAGAAGGCTGACATCCCACCCTGCTGCCAGCCCGGAGCTGCTCTGCCCCAGCAAAACATGCTACAGTCCTGGGAGCATGTATAAATGCTGAGCCCGGGAGAAAAACTCTGATACAAACTGCGCTGGAGTTTATTACTACATGCTAATTACATGAGTATATACACCCCCTGGGGAGAGGATTTATCCAAAATTAGTTCTATTTGTTGTTAGTCAGCTCTTGCAGTGCACATCCTGATCTAAATTCAACCCTGATCTCTGAGGGTACAACTCCCTTGCCTTCATCTGCACTCTTTTATTCCAGACTCTAAGAGATCTGGTCTGGGAAGCAGACATAGTAGCAGAAATTTCCACCTGAAAATGAGAATCATTACTAAAGAGGGTAATGTTAACTGGGCTATGCTGGGAAGCATAAATAATAAAAAAAATTGAGATATTTGTCATTTCTCTTCAGTCTACCCAGCATTTATTTCCTACATCTCATGTTACAAGCAAGTATGAACTGAGGGCTTATTGTATTACTACCAAGGAAGTGTGATATCATCTTCCCCACAGGTGCTAAGTCAGTTTTCCAAGGTGATGGTACATGATTTACCCTATGCTTTTCAGAATAAGAGCACACACACGGAATATTTAAATAACATCTACAATTACTGGAAAGCTTGTAGAATAAATACTGTCTAGCCTGATATGAGTTATAAAACACTTTATGGCAAAGTACAGTGATATCATTTATCTTCATCTTGATAAATACCTGTTATGGTTTGAATTAGATTGAAATTAAATGAAGCTGATAGCCACATATATAAATGCTCTGCACATAGCTCTTATGTAATACTGGTTCTTAATAAAATTAATTATATAGTCCATATTACTGCAGAAGCAAATTTGCTTCTATTTTGACATTTATAAGTCTGTATTTCAGAACTTTAGCCTGTTTTATCTTGGATGAAAACCACAAACACAATAAATGTTATGAGTTTACTGCAGGAAAAGTGAACACCAGCTTCTGTAACAAATGCAATAACCTGATGCTTTTTTCCTCTTAGATCATCAATTGACTGAAAAAACAGAAATGTTAACGCTGTTTAAATATTATCTCCTATTTATACTCCCCATGTCTGTGTTTATTGAAACAGTTTGGTGCAATTGCATCAGTGTATTTAAACAGGGTGGAAATTGCACTTGCTTTCTAAGCCTATTTGCTATTCATTATCTTTCTGTATTTGAAGAGACTTGCATGGTTTGAAGCTGCAAAATGGGATGAAAAAATAAATGTGTTCCTGCTTGATCACTTTTGTGCTAATTTACAGTTCCAAATTGGGGGACCACTGTCCTTCTAGAGCTTTGGCTATTTTGGTAAGAAAAACAAGTTTGTAATTTTGGACAAATTTACCATAAGTGTAATACTTTTTAGATTATTTTAACTTAGATTCTGCAAGCCCACAATTGAAATTAGGTACTGTATTCACTCAAATCCAAGATGAGAGGTCCCCCCCCCCCCCCCCCCTTTTT